GAATCTTTTTTCCGTTTTTTTTTCAAAATGACAGGGGGCACACATTTTTTAAGTGGGGGCACATTTACAGCAGATAAGGCACCAACTATACGTTCTACTCATATATCTCTAGGAGATACTTTCTTGTTGGGGTAACGCACACAGTTCCAACAGCATTGCTAAGTTTTGGCGTTAATTGGAAGAGTATCCTTCTGGGTTTTGGAACTGATCCGAAGTTTGTACTAAGGTTGATAAATAAATTATTAACAGTAACTTGAATGTGCAGAAAACTGAACCGATCGGGTAAACACTGACTGGTTAGCGTAACGTAAAACGCGTTTTGAAATGTGCTTTCGTTTTGTTTACATACATCTGTAATCTTCAAAGGCTGCGGGCTCGCAACCGCTGCAGGCGCGTGAGAGAATCAAGCCTCAAAGAGCCATCAGACCACCACAGATGGGGCCCAACAGGGCCGATGCTGATTCGGAGCCGCGGAGAACCTAACGGGTAACCGGGGCTCCGGCTCGACGTGCAAGGGAATTAACGGGGTGGTTTTAGTAAGAGTCTGACACTTCCTCCCGCCCCTCACCCAGGCGGGGGCAGTCTTTCGAGGATTTTCCCCCCTTAAAAAAAATATCCTTGAATATTGTCAGACTTTTCAATTTCTACAATTCTCAGCTTAGCACAAATAACACGGACTATGTACTTACTCAGTATATATCACATATCACAATGGCTTGGGGACAAGCCAATGTTAGCCTATTACATCACATGATGCACACGCAAGTGTGGGAGAGCCATGCTTCGGGCTTGAATGGGCCGGCTCGACCGGAGTGATACCACGGCCTCACAGAAAACCGACGTGAACCAACGCTTGCGTTGTGTTTCGTCGTGTGAGTGATGTTACCCTCCCCTTCCCCAATCTCCCCAATTCCTGAATCCTCAACGATCCTCAAACTCCTAATCCCCAAAAGGCCGGTAACGCACCTGTAATGCCTTTGGTGTTCCAGGTATCCATGGGCGACGCCGATTGCTTACCATCAGGTGATCCGTTTGCTCGTTTACCAGCTTATGCCATAAATAGGCAATTATAACTTCTGATAATATAGTATTCGATAAATTATATAGTAAAATTGCCTGTACAAACATACAAAAAAATATGTTTTTCTAATAAAAAGAATTAGTATTTGATCAATAAAAATCTTAAAACTCAAAAGCTAAAATCACACATGTCCTCACGACCTACATACCAACCAAAATATCGAGCATACCTTTCATAAAATCCTTTTTTAACCATCCTAACATTGAATTTTACCAAAGAACGATGGATATTGTGTGGGGCATAATAGACCCAATCTGCTGCCAAACCCGCTGCTCGGCCTACACATGATGAATACAAATTTGTAGCAGAATACTGAGGGTTAAAGGCCATTTCTCATATAAGAATGTACCTGTGTAAGCGAATCTTCGTTTGAAAACAGTGAAATGTATGAGATCAAAAAGGTTATAGAGTATAAGTACCTATGTATTCTTTTGTAATTAAACCTTTTAAATCAATTATAAAACTTCGTTATAAAAGATGACACTATTTTTCTTTGAATTCTTTCTCAAGGTCATTATTGATCCAATTTACCAATACTGGTATTATACCAATATAGATATACCAATGACTTATAGAGGTACATACAAGGACTGCATAGCCATATTAATACAAAAAACTTTATTTCATCTTAACCCGTGGCGAGAAACGAACTAGCAATGGAACCTCAGCAATTACAATACGTAAATACTCAACAAAACAATTCATACTCCAACTTGTCCAACAATTTACAACAAACGTATCACTCAAATAGATTTTGATTAAAGTATCGAGCGCAGACCACGAGCTATAAGTAATGGCACTATAAAACCACACACGTCCGAGTAGACAACTGTACAAGTAATATTTCGATAAACCACTACAATCGGGACATAAAACGTACTCGTAATAAAACATTGTTTAGTGTCTCAACCACCTATAAAGTACACATTTGTATCGATTGCATTGCGTATTACTGTACCTGAGTTTAGACAACAGTGACTAACAAAACAGTATTTTGTTTCCGAAAGAGAGATCCGAGAGAGATTGTACCCATATATCCCCAAGCGGTCACCGGTGACCGCTCTCACTAATTACATTGTAGACCTTATTTCCAATGTTTTTTTTTTAAGGGGGGAAATCATCGAATGTCTGCTCCCGCCTGGGTGGGGCGGGAGGGAGTGTCAGACTCTTACTGACTAAAAACCACCCCGTTCCTTCTCCTGCACGTCGAGCCGGAGCCCCGGTAACCCGTTAGGTTCTCCGCGACATTTCCGATGTTTAGAGACTACTTTTTTATGAACAAATTTAGGAGATGATTTTCATATTAAAATGTGACACAAATTTTTCAGAAAAGCGTAGCCATGGTGACAGAGTAACATAACATTTATGATGAGTCTTCGTCTCACCTCACGGGTCGTAAGAACCGACTAAGCCGAATTTGGCCCAGTTTGGACGCGGACACATTCGATACAATGACATAGTCGTCGAACTGTGGAACTTTGTTTATTGTATTGGGTTTAAATAAAAGGAATATATTCATTTATGTAAGTAACTGGATTGTCTTGCTAAGCAAGTAACTATGACTACTGCAGGAATGCAAGTGAAATTAAGGTCATCCCTCATTTAAAAACCACGGCTCCGGCGCGGCGTGGGCGCGACGCCCGCGCGCATCCAACTAGCAGGCGGCGCGTGGCCAGCGCGGCGTCGCACACCGGCCGCGAGGTGAAAGCATGCGGGCGCCTCGGGTCGAATGGCTGGGTTGGAACCGTGGTTTTTAAATGTGGGATATAACCTTAACTCATTGAGTACCGTCACTTTATTATACCTGTGGTCATTATAGAACAATAGGTTGCGGCACAGATTAATATTTCTGTGGGTTGCGGTCATCGGTGACCGCTCGGTGTTTGACAGTTTAAGGCTGAATACTCAACAAGGACCGGGCAGCAGTGCTCCCTAACCATCGTGAACTATTGAAACTGCGATCTTCAGCCTGGTTGACGAGTGGTCGATGGTCCAAGAATTATATACCGACCATAAATAGGTTAGAATGAAGGCACAGAGAAAAAGATGAAATACATTATTACGGATAGACGAATTGAATTTCATTCCTGCAGTAGTCATAGTTAATTGGTTACTTGCTTAGCGAATCAATGTAGTTTCTTAAATAATATATTCCTATTTATTTAAAACAATACAGGAACAAAGTTCCACAATTCGACGACTATGTAACGAATGTGTCCGCGTTCAATCTGGACCAAATTCTGGCTACTGTCCAGAAACTACAAACTTTGGTTCTACCATGTTCTGGATTCTGGATAGTTTCGGATTTAAACTAGCCTTGGAGATTTAATTTTGAATAAATATTTCAACCTTCTTACATCGTCTCTTTACTATGTTAGTTGAATTGTTTTGAATATGAGTACCTATCGCACAGATCGTTCAAACTGAATCGAAAGTAGAAAGTTTGTGAAATGAATGGGCATTGAGGGATTGAGAAGATTGAGAAATGGGGGGAGTAATTAGGCCTCCGGTAACCTCACTCACACGACGAAACACAACGCATATGTTGTTTCACGTCGGTTTTCTGTGAGGGTTTCACTCCGGTCGAGCCGGCCTATCCGTACCGAAGCTTAGCTCTCTCACACTTGTTGTCTGTAGTGAAGGTTAAGGAATAATTCATCTTAAAATTGAAAACTAGTATGTATGTAAAAGGTTTCGACTATTAAATCCAAGATTTTGTGATTAAACTGTCAAACACCAAGCGGTTATCGGTGACCGCAACCTATTGTTCTATAATTGTGTCTATAATGACGGTACTCGACGAGTTAAACTAATTGTAAAACTAATCGACTTGATTAAATCAAATAAACTGCCTACTAATAAAAAAGCCAACGTCTTTTTCTTAAAACTAACTAACGACTTGTCTGATGCCCCTGCCAGACTATACTCCTTGCGCTGCTCGTCAATATGTTCCTTGCGCTGCCGGGATTTGCCGCGACGTTATCTTCTCTGCCCACACACTGTTCTACTCGGGCAATTAATCACGACGATCCTATTGCCTGTCCTCGTTGCCTCCTCGTATTGCCAGTCCCTTTGACTCGCGCGCAAAAACCGAGAAAATAGGGAGCAGTGGGCAGGACGAGGAGCATGACCTGTGGCATGAGAGGTAATGTTGCCACTCTACGTCTCTGCCTCCTTTCCTCGTTACTTCCCACACCACTCGTCGAGCGTGTGCCAGGCGCATAACAACTCACTAAAAAGTATCCACTTTCTGACTGACTGTCTCAACTTGTCAGTAATAATACAAAAATATTGACTAAATAATACATAACATCACGCCTTTTATCCCCGAAGGGGTAGGCAGAGGTGCACATTATACCACTGAACAATGTAACACCCACTTTTCACTATGTTATGAGTCCCATGTAGTAGCCGGTGAGCCTATTGCCATATACCGGGCACAATTCCAGACTCCGTGCTACTACTGAGAGTATTTAAAAACCCAGTAATACTTTACCCGACCCGGGAATCGAACCGGAGACCCCTTGCCTGGAAGTCGCACATACGACCACTTGGCCAACGAGGCAGATATTGACTTAATCAATAATTTAGTGGCGCAACTCAAGTGGATTGTGTGACACCGGTTTGTATGCCAATGAAACTAAAATATTAGTAAAATAAGTTGGTTTATCAAAACCTGACAAAGAGTACCTCGGTAACAATTAATTACTAATTTCATTTTTACAGTTTACGATAATTGCTTTCTACTATTACTATTCTCATATTATCAAATCGAATACGTAAATCTAAAATGTTCATAAAAACAACTTACTTCATGTGCGCTTTAGTATGTTTAATATTGTGTTTCATAGTTCTCCAGTTGCAATCTGATAGACGAAGCAAATTGAAATACATTCTCTTATACGGGAAAAACTGGCGAATGAATACAGATAATGGTCAAAAAATATTTTTGGAAAATAAGTGTCCAATAAACGATTGCTACATAACAGTAATTAAATCGTTATTTCCAAGCATATCACACTACGATGCAGTCGTGTTCGATGGTAAACAAATATACACAACGTTTAAATTCATACCGAAAACCAGATCGAGGCGTCAAAAATATATTTTCTATACATTAGAATCGCCAGTATCCTACCCTTTACGCTCCAGAAGGTACAATGGAGTCTTCAACTGGACTATGACACCGAAATTAAAGTCAGATCTATATAACGGTTACATGATAGTTAAAAACAAAAAAGGTGAAATAATTGGACCGAAGGAAGACATGCATTGGTTAAAACCAGAAGATATGAAACCTATAGACGAACAGTTTATAAACGGTTTAAAAAACAAAACATATGCAGTTGCATGGTACGTTTCGAATTGTAACGCAAGAAGCAAAAGGAAGGAGATTGCTATACGGTTGCAAAGAGAATTACAGTATAAAGGTCTGGATCTTCATATCTATGGTGCTTGTCATTGGGGAAGTGGTATGAAGTGTTCGTTTGATGATGAACTGTTATGTCTAGATTTATTGAGGACAAGCTACTACTTCTACCTGTCCTTTGAAAATTCTCTAAGCGATGATTATGTGACGGAAAAGTTATTGAATCCGCTACAGTATCATACTGTTCCCATAGTGTATGGAGGTGCTAACTATACGAGGTAAGATTTATACTAATACAACACAATCAAAGAACATACATAACATCACGCCTTTTATCCCCGAAGGGATAGCCAGAGGTGCACATTTTGCCACTGTATCTACAATGTAACACCCACTTTTCACTATTTATGTTATGAGTCCCATGTAATAGGGAGTGAGCCTAATGCCATATACCGGGCACACTTTCAGACTCCGTGCTACTACTGAGAATTTTTTAAAAACCTAGTAATACTTTGCCCGACCCGGGAATCGAACCCGACACCCCTTGCCCGGCAGTTGCACTTGCGACCACTCGGCCAACGAGGCAGTCGAAGAACTCTATTAGCCTTAAAAGTCCAAATTAATTTGTACTTTCAGATTCGTACCAGACGGTGCATATTTGAATGTAAGAACCCTTGGTATCAAAAACCTGGTCCAAAAAATTGTAGCAGCAATAAAGGATTCGGATATCTATTACGATTACTTTAAATGGACCAATCACTATTCGTACCACCATCCAACTGAATCACCGGAAACTGACCCTTATTGTGTCCTATGTAAAGCTCTAAATGATGATAACTTGGTAAAACAAACAAGTATCTATGAACAATTTACAATATGGTGGAATGCTAAAATTTGTTATGATGCTGTAAAAAATATTGACAAGGATGATGATTACATTAAAGTTCGATGTAATAGAAATTAAATAATGTTTTAATGAAGTCAATAGTAATCAAAGTTTAAAGCATGGCTCTCCCACATTTTAGGTGGGGGAGAGCCGTGCGGACGTATCACGCAATCGCGGACAAACAAAATAATATACCTACGTATTTTTTTTTTAAGGTGGGAAAATCATCGAATGACTGCTGCCGCCTGGGTGAGGCGGGAGGGAGTGTCAGACTCTTACTGACTAAAAACCACCCCGTTCCTTCTCCTGCACGTCGAGCCGGAGCCCCGGTTACCCGTTAGGTTCTCCGCGACAATATACCTACGTATAGGTCAATCTGAGTTGACTGCCTCATCGGCCGAGTGGTCGCAAGTGCGACTGCCGGGCCAGAGGATTCGAATCCCCAGATCTGGCAAAGTATTACTACAGGGTTCTTAAAAAATCTCAATAGTAGCACGGTGTCTGGAAATATGCCCGGTATATGGCAATAGGCTCACCCCTTATTACATGGGACTCATAACATAAATAGTGAAAAGTGGGTGTTCATTTGTAAAGTGTTATAATGTGCACCTCTATCTACCCCTTCGGGAGTAAAAGGCGTGATATTGTGATGTTATGTGATGTCAAAGTGCGAACTCTTTATTTTTTTGAAGTCGGTTTAAAATTTACGTGCTGATTTCTGGTAGTCTAGAAATTTTGTAGACATTATTTCTTGTAACACCTTCCTATAATAATAAGTGAACAACATCAATCGATCGTTGAAGGGCGAGGCTTGAACTAGAAACTTATTATTTCTCATAACATCGGTAACAAGTTGACGTTAAAATGTTATGACATTGAAGTTTCAATTATCTTTAATGGCTTCTATGTCCACACTACTTGAGGTGTGTAGACTTAACTAGTAAAAAAGTCAACTGCTGTAGTCTAGTTGGATGAAATCCTTTTGTTTTGTTTTCTTTTATAAGGAAGGAAAATTATCGAATGACTTCTGCCGCCTGGATGAAGCTGAAGGGAGTGTCAGACTCTTACTGACCACGCCTGCACTTCGAGCCAGAGCCCTTTATAGGTATACTTTCACATTTTAAGTGTGGGAGAGCCATGCCTTGCCACGAATGGGCCGGCTCGACTGGAGTGATACCACGGCCTCACAGAAAACCGACGTGAATCAACGCTTGCGTTATGATTCGTCGTGTGAGTGAGGTTACCGGAGGCCCAATTACCCTCCCCTTCCCTAATCTCCCCAATTCCTGAATACCCAACGATCCTCAAACTCCTAATCCCCAAAAGGCCGGTAACACACTTATAACGCCTCTGGTGTTCCAGGTGTCCATGGGCGACGCCGATTGCTTACCATCAGGTTATCCGTCTGCTCGTTTACCGCCGGTAAACGGGCGGTAAATTACCGGCCTATGCCATAAAAAAAACATTCTCCGCGGTTCCATATCGGCATCAGCCCTAATAAACCCTATCTGTGGTGGTCGGATGGCTCTTTGAGGCGCGCGCGGAACGCAACGCGCCGTACGCTTATCATCATGATATCTAGCTTTAGTACCTGGGTATTGACTAGTTTTCGCCAGCAACAAATTGATTAATCCGCCTTGAGCATGCGTGGTGATTAATGTTGAAACCTCCTTTGTGTGTCTTTGCTCAGCAGTGGGCTCTTATAGGTCGTTGATGTGATGCGAATTTGATAAAAAGCCTATGCCAGACTTTCTAAATCTGTTTTGGTTGATCTCTTCAAAAGCTATTTAAATCAAGGACGCTGAAAAAAGGCGGACCTAGTCTCTTGAAACAACGACTGTGGCACTTGGCTACTATAGACTTACACGCAGAACATACACACATTGACACGAAGGACATCTGTCATTTTCTATGGTAACGTGGTAACACACACGCACACATAAATAACCCACTAACATTTCGATGCTTCAATAATTTCTAAGTGACTGTATGCCCGTCCTTTTTTTCATCGTCCATGATTGTCTTTAAAAATTATAAAGAATGAAAGAAAAGTAATTTATTCGTCACCAGGCATCATCAACAGCCTATAAATGCCCACTGCTGAGCAAAGCCTCTTCCCACACGGAGAAGGTTTGAGCATTAATCACCACGCTTGCTCAATGCGGGTTGGTGATTACAAACTTATAATAAGAAATTATAAGCCCAGGTTTCCTCACGATGTTTTCCTTCACCGTTTGTCAGTGGTGGCTAAATAATCTTAGAAAGTACATATAACTCGGAAAAAGTCACATTGGTACTTGCCGTTGGTCACGTTACCAGGCATGAACTACCAAATATACAATTTTATACTATTATATAAAGCGGAAGAGTTTGTTTTTTTGTTTATTTGTTTGAAACCGCTAATCTCCGTAATTACAAGTCTGATTCGAATAATTATTTTTGTGTTGGATAGCACATTTATCGAGGATGGCTATAGGCTATAAAACATCACGCTACGACCAATAGGCGGAGCTAGTCATAAAATAAAATTTAACCTTCAAGTCCTGACGTGGTTTACTCATACCATAAACGGTGACGTGACGTCAAACACCTTAATAATTAATCGAAATGGATTACTTTTATTTACTGATTTGCACGATATTTACTTGTATTCTGATCGGTCCATTATAATTCTATTAACAGCGGATTTCATCCGAGAACGTTGTATTTTTTGAACTTCCTTAAAATATAAATATTTCGCATAACTTAAAAAAATATATGTTAAAATCTTAGCTACATTACAATTATTTGGACGTTTTTTTTGAAAATTCTTATATTTGTGAACACGCCGTCTATGAGACACCCACGTCAGTAGTTAAAGGTTAAGATCAAAATAAAAAAAAAACAATAAAAACATAAAATAACATTCAAAACAACAGCAAAAAACAATATATATACATAAATATATATAAAATAAAAATAAATTCCTATTTTATAACTCATATTTTCCAATTAACACATGTCTTAAACTTCTGCACAGTTTTTCCTAAGGAAACTACACATTATATTGCTATATTTGGTATTAAAATTATACAGAATATTAATAGCTACCTACCTACAATCTTGTTGCAATTACAGCAGATTGCAGCTTCCCTAGTTTAAATGGAAAAGTTTAGCTCGACGGTTATCATTAGTGCTAATCGTTTCGTATTATGCATAATATGCATTTATGCATAGACAGTAGGTGGGTATAAAGATATGCGCTTTCTGTAGAAATGGTGAGTTATCTATCCTTCTAACTTTATAAATGGGAAACTTTGTATGGCTACGCCGCCCATGGACACATGGAACACCAGACGAGTTACAGCTGCGTTGCCGGCCTTTTAACAAGGAATGATTTGGAGAGCCATGCTTCGGCACGAATGGGCCGGTTCGACCGCAGTGATACCACGGCCTCGCAGAAAACCGACGTGAAGCAACGCTTGCGTTGTGTTTCGTCGTGTGAGTGAGGTTACCGGAGGCCCAATTACCCTCCCCTTCCCCAATCTCCCCAATTCCTGAATCCCCAACGATCCTCAAACTCCTAATCCCCAGGGGCGGGTAACGCGCTTATTACTCCTCTGGTGTTCCGGGTGTCCATGGGCGGCGCCGATTGCTTACTATCAGGTGATCCGTCTGCTCGTTTACCGGTTTATGCCATAAAAAAAAGAATACGCTCTTTTCGTGAAGGAATGTTACTCCTTCACGTCAAAACGGCTGAAGGGATCGAGACGAAATTTCAAATAGGGGTAGATTATGGTCTAGAATAACATATAGGTTACATTTTATCCTACGAGAACGTGGACGAAGCCGCAGGCAGAAGCTGAGAATTTATAAAATTGACTTTTTGGTGCATTAATGGGTAAGCTTCAGTTGTTCGTCACGTAAAGTGAATATTTTGATTCTCAGAACTATTTTAGTTGTTATCGTATGAAATAGAAATAACATAATATAACATAACATAACATAACGCCTTTTATCCCCAAAGAGGTAGGCAGAGATGTACCTACATTACGGCACTTAATGCCACTGTACAATGTAACACCCACTTTTTATTATTTATGTTATGAGTACCATGTAATAGGAGGTGAGCCTATTGCCATATACCGGGCACAATTCCAGACCCCGTATTATTACTGAGATTTTTCGAAAAAGCCCACTAATAATTTGCCCGACCCGGGAATCGAACCCGAGACCCCTTGCCCGGCAGTTGCGACCACTCGGCCAACGAGGCAGTCATCAATAGAAATACATAGTATATGTCGCTTAAAGCGTATCTATGCGTTGGATAGTACCCTGTGTCCGACGAATGTACCAAATTTGTAATTTTTTATCCAAATTCAAAATTGGGTCTACTTTTGTCAGATATATGGAATTATCAAATGTCTGAATATCCTTATTGAGGGGCGGTACCGCCGTCCGTGAGTCACTGCAGGGTGCCACCTGAAAACCAGCGTTGGGCAGGAACGCTCAACTATATGCTGAGGTGGTCGACCTTTTGGCCTGGGCACTTTATTATTTTTATATCTCTTTCCTTGTTTTATATATATATTTTTTGTTTTTAGTTTTTTTAGTTTCGGTTATTATTCTAATTATATTTTGTTATGTTTTAATGATTTTTGTTCATTTCTTTTCTCTTTTATAAAATTTATTATTAATGTTTTGTTTTTATTTTCACTGTATTTGTTGTTTTCGTGTGCCAATGGCCAAATAAATGCATTTTCTTTCTTTCTTCTTTCTTTCGAATATCAGGGAATCAGCTTGCTCTCTGAAGAATGGTTCTAAAGAGAGATTTAAACGCATTGTAAAAGTAGTTTTATATTAAAATGCAAAATACAAAGAATGAAGACTAATAAAATACTGGTTTTCTAAAAGACGGTAGAAGGTACCTAGGGTGGGACACCGGTATTACATTTTTTATTAAATTCACAAAGGGAACTCCGTTTTTCAGTGTGCAGTTGTGCAGATATTATTTTCTCTTCTTTTCTAGTCTGAAACTTGATATACTGAGATTTTGCAATGAAACGTGAAAGAGTAACCTTTTTAATGCTTAAAATTAT